CACAAGGTTTACACAGCTGTCTACGCCACAACTAACGTTTATTTCGGAAGCATTGGATTTAGTTTTCCGTGGGCAATTAGTACGTGCCATTGTGACAATCAGGTATGCATAAGCCTTTCGTCGCAAGTTCTGCACTGGTAGGTTGAATCCAAACGCCATGGGTCAAGCTGGTGGGCTAGCGCACACCTGTTTATTTGCTGTAAAACAGAAACCGAAGAATATCCACCAAACACCTACGGATGGGTTAATACACCAAAGCAAAGTATTGGTGCAAAATTCACACAGTGAAACCACGTATAACAGCGTATTTGCAAAGCAAAAGTAGAAGCCAGCACGGTAAAGCCAAAATCAACAGCATCCGTTGGTACAACCTCACAGCATCCGTCCAAGGACCAAGCCATGCTGGATACGGCCTAGGATCGTTTGCCTAAAGGATACGCTGCGCCTCAAACGTACACACTGCTCTTCGCTGCAAGAATGCAGATACCCAGAGATGAGTACGGCGTAGTACGCCGTAAGGGCTCAGCTTTTGTGTTAGCCTCAAGTCGGGTACCTTATCAGATGCTTGTGCGAAGTCGAAGTTATGCAACTCCCCTAAGTGGCCATTTTCCACTGCCGCAAACGAAGCTTCACGAGCCACCTACCAATTCGTCAGACAGGAAAACCCTTCCGGAATCCCTGTCGTGCACTACTGAATAGCTTAAATCTATCCACGTGACCCTCCAAGCTATTTCTCAAGAGCGTTTCGACAGCTTGACTACGACGCTATCGGACTGACTAATCTATAATTGGCTGACAGACTCCTGGCGCATTTTTGAAGATAGGACGGGTGACAGCATCCTTTCATTTAGAAGATAATGTACAGTTGTCAAGTGACTTCTGAAACACCATCGTCAGCAGTCCATTTAGTTCCACCGCCAACTAATTCAGAAGCTTCAGGTCCATTGAATTAGATCCAGCTGTTTGCAACAGCCGAAGGATGTGCGTTTCCACCGCAGTAAATTTAGCTAAAGCATATCCTTCACGCACCATGGAGACAAGTTTACCGCTAGACAACGCGGCCACACGTACTAAAACCCCCCGCATACTGCTTAACCACTACACCATTCTTGTCCGAGTCTGCATACGCATGAGTTCTAACGGCCGGCCTCAAAGCCGGAAATATCAAATTTGACCCACAGCGTTCCCTAACTTAAGCGAAGAAATTCTTGGGATTTTCCGAATCTCCATAAGCCAATGCTTTTCTGTACAACAGCCACGCTTTTCTTAAGTGTTGTTTACATCTATTTCTAGCCTCGCGGTACCTATCATAGGTGCTAGTTGATGGAGTCGCACCGCAGGTCCTCCAGCACCTATAAAAATGCTGAAGTAGGTATTTTCCAGTGGTATCTCTCCACGGGGGCGGGTCCGGTGTCTTTTTCTCCTGGCAAGCGGCATGTAGGGATTAGACACATCCGTGAGGCAATACTTAAATTTCTTTTAGGCCGCCTGAACAATAGCGGGTACCGCGGGTTCGCAACGCAACCCAGAAGCGTTGATACGCCTTGTCAGATAGTTAACACGCTATATGAGTATATGGCTAAGCGACGCCCTAGTGACGTCTGGTCACAGTACACATCAATGCTAAAAGTTATAACCACTAACACCTAATCTAAAGCTGTGAGTCAGTTCACCCATGAAATCTAATGCCTAGGCAAAACTGGATCAAAAATAACGGTTCTTGGCATCTATGTAACTAGTGGAGAGGTCCACGAACTGATGCAACGGTACTTGTATAGTAAGCTCAAGAAGATCTGCACCAAACGTATCCTCCGCCGAGTTGTAAGAAAGGCTTGCTCAGCAAACTTCCGGTATATCCAATTCCTCCAGTATAAAACACCTGTTTGCGGATTAGGAGCGAATAACGTCAAGCGCCACTTTGAACGCACTCCCAAAGCTTGTATACACAAGTACCATTGCAAGTTAAGCCGAGGACGTGCAAATAACTAGCCACAGAGCTTCGACAGGTTTATCTGTCTGCTGCAACATGTAGGTACGTAAAACCTCAATTCCACAACTAAAGTAAGGCGTAACACCCCCGCCTTATCGACCAACGAAGCAAGCACTTTCAACTAGTGCGTAGCCAGGGGATGTACTTTAGCGTCCGTGATGTCCTGAGACAGCCAGGTTTGAGTGCATGCGAGTTTATCAGGATGAGAGCCATCCACAGGCATACCTATCTCGAACATCTTATTTCTTAGGCTGCGCGCGTTTCTTAGCACTAGCTGAAGGTACTCGTAAATTCCAGCCCTGGGTCGTGCGCTGCCAGGAATGGTACTGGTAGGGCGGAACAAGACTGCCAGCTGACCACCCGAAATCACATCACCGAAGCGCTTTTTCACCGGCCGAAGTCCTTTATGGCCTATTTTAGCTTCAGCTTATTCGCTAGCGGGTGGCCTGGCTGAAAGCTAACATTAGTACACTTAAGGTTGAAAGCTAAATGCAATAGCGCGTTGAATTCTTCCGGGGTGAATAGGAATACACGACATAAGCGTAGTCGAGACTGTGGGGTGTTAATTGAGATGTTACCCAGTATAATCATTTTCCTGAGAGTACCGCCGGGAAACATAGGCGGAAGATGCTACCGTACGCATATTTTATACCCCCGTATTTCGTTCAAAGGACGTTCAGCAGGAAGTGCGGCAGTGGATTCCACTGCGTTACGGAATAGCATGGAGATATCCCTGAAGGAAGCGCTTCGATGGGTGTATTTGTCACGTTTTGGAATTTAGATGAATAGCAGTCGGGTTAGCTGTAGGTAATGAAACGGGGCGCACGTTATTAGACAGCGCTAAAGCAATTTTAACGTACGACTTATGCTCCAGCTTGTTTGACTCGTTATTCTTGACGAATCTCAAACTGGCTTTAAGAGTACCGGCAGTTCATTTCCGATATTGCTTTCGTCCTAAAAGCAAGGGAGCCTTTTGCTCAACGTTTGCCCACCCACGTCCACCACCAGTAGCCTTTGGAAGACAGGGCGCGGTGTTTGGAATTGCACCTCCGCAGTTTGGCTAGCACACGCTGGGGATATCAGATGTTTTTACCCCTGCCATGCACAGTCTTAGATGAAACGGAACGATGTTCGGCACTAGGTGGTGTTTCCAGCTCAGCCAGTCTCATCTTGAGCGATTGCTCACCCCCGGTTTGGGGGCGGAAGGTTTGTGCGCTCCCTTCACTCTCTTTCGCTTATTTTTTCTGGCCCAGGAGCCCGTGACCCGCATTCCATTTGTGGAGGGTCAAGGATGCGTCAACAATGGGTCAACAATTAGCCAGTTACCTCAAGGTGAACAGTAGTTTCCTGTAGGATGAACGACTCATCAACCGTTAGCCTGTCAGCAAGGGAACAAACCGCTTCAGAGTTTTAATGCACAATACTCAGTGGTTTCATAATCAAATCCAATTTAATGTTGAGCGGGGCAAGTGGCAAGCTCGGCAACCGTCTTCTTAACAACTGTGAACCTGGATGACAGAGCTTTGAATTCAACACAGCTGACAGCCGGGCGTTTCGCTTTCTGAGCGCAGCATGCGGCACATCTAAAAAGAACATTTTCACTGGAGGACATCGTACTTTACGGCTACGCTCGGAAGCCGGTACTAATTTTGGTTTACCAGCCGGAGGAAACCTCACAATGCATACTACCAGAAGACTCCGTAACTGGTGTTAAACCGGCAGAATTACCACAAGCTGCGGTGGGCTCATCAAACGAGGACACAAGGATTTGATATAAAAAGTGGAAAACGGAGCGGAATTTAAAATCACGTATACAACCTTAAAACGACCACAAAAAGCAAACCAGGGTGTCAAACGGTAGCAAAAGGGGAACAAACGCAAAAATTACCAGCAAGCTTCAATGAGACGTTATGTCCAGCACCACTTAAATCCATCCAAAATATCTTGGGCCAGAGGAACGTTGACAATAGTAAACTTTTGCTTCAAGTGTTTAATCGAACACCGTTTTCCACAATATTTCGGCCAAAAAGCTCGATCAGTATGGCACCCCAAAAAAGCGAATTACCGCGAAGTACTAACTACACGACCAAATAACTAGAAAAATTGTCGCAGCTTTGTCTGGATTATTTGGACCCGCTAGGTTGTCTGTCCAAGCAGTTATTCCATGTAGCTGGATAAACCGCGGTCCGATAGGTTTTGGGCGAAAAGTGGAATGTCACTTCCAGTCATCGAGCGCTGGAACCTGCTCCCAGTATTTGTTATATGGGAACCTACCGTTAAGGCGATTGAGCGTCAACTTGACGTTCTTTGGTGGCAACGGGGAACATTTCCCTTTTCCTGACTAATTCCCATCTTCGTACTTGGTTTACTTTTCTCTACTTTCCTTGTTTGGTGGTATTATCCTCTTATTTCAACTAAACTTCCTTATTCTGTGCCTTCGATTTCACTTCCTAAGGGTTGCTTAAATCACCTGGCTGCCAAGCAAGTAGCGCTTGTTCAGCAAGCTTGGACAGCATTTGGTTGACCAGGGTATGACACGGGTGTTCCGTTTAAATTTAGCATGACCTACGAGCACACCTACTTTACTGAACCGTCCGTTCAAGTAAAAACACTTGAAATTCTCTTTTCGTACCAGTCCCACCTGAAATTGCAATTGCACATAAACTACGGTCATAGCTTCCAGTTGCATTGAATATACCGACAAAGCAAATTGCCACGGTACTAAATCATTCGATAGCAAAAATACCTTCGTTTAGTCAGTTAAAGTTTGATATACTATGTAACTATAAGAAACAGTTTTTATATAAAACACACACCTCAATATAAACGCCACAACTGTAGAGGGTCGTTCGATTCTTCCTATTGGCCATGCTAGGCAAATATCGATGCTAATAAGAAACGTATCATCTATTACTACTTTAATTGTGGGCTAATGTTTTGTGGCGCTTACTGCCAAACTTAAATTGCATACTAGTCTTTGACTTATTGCTCACTTTCATTCTCAGTCTACATATACAACGCCACTTGTTCTTTCTTGTTGTGCAATGGCGGTCGTTTCGATCACCTCGTTTTGCGCTTAATTTCCGTCTGCTGGGATATCACGTTACATTTCTACATCCTACTGGAAATATGCAGATTGATGTACAGCGGGATGTTTACGATAAATTTCAGCGCATAAAGTCAAAATATTTCAGCGAGCTATCCGATAGTGAATTTTTATCTTCTCTACTGGATCATGTCGATTCCCCTAACCTTCGAGATGGACGGTTGGTTATACAACGTTGCGCGAGCTGTTATTCTTTAGTTCCTTTTTAGATGAAAGTTTCTCCGGAAAACAGTTAAAGGCGGAAGGTTTGGATGAACATAGAAAATGTCCTGAATGCAAATTTTCCACCTCCTCAACCGGTTCGCTACATGAGCACTTTGAATCGGCTCATAATGAAAATGGAAGTTTTTCCTGTACCTGCGGAGATTCGTATTCACGTTTACCTGACTTTCTGCAACATTATATTGATTGCCCTGTGGCTGCCACGGATCTGCAGGATCCACCTAAAAACCCGCGCAAACGCGTTAAACGTTCGCCTGACTCTAAAGATGAAGACACAACTGCATCAGATGCCAATGGTAGTATCGAAGATGCTACGGAAACTTACTACTCTTATCGTCATCCTTCGGTATCTCCTATTGCTGGCCCATCGGACGACAAACCATTTGGATGTCCAAAGTGCCTCAAAGGTTTCAAAAGTAAATCTTTATTGGATCAACATATGCATTTGCACTACCCTCCTCGGTATAAGTGCAGATGGTGTGGGAATGTTTACAGATGGCCACCTGTGTACTATCATCACAAGCAGAAATGCAAGAAACGCCCGCTTCATCATAGTGGATCCTTTACCCCTGCTAGCGAGTGTTCTGGTCTCGGTGGTTCTTACAGACATCCAGATCCTGCTCTTTCTGTTGAACATTTCACACGGGCACAAACAACTTTCGCTCAATTTATGCACCTCCACAGCCTGCGTTTACTACAGCAGACGGGTTCCTCCAATGGACAGCCCTTGTCAAATCCTGCCGCGGCGGACGCACCGAACGTTATTCCCTTGACGTGCATTTGCTCGGAAGCCTTTCCCAATTTACCGAGTTACCTTGAGCATGCAAAGTCTTGTTCCAGCATGTTGTCTGCGTCTACAGTATTCGAGCACCTCGCTCCCCATCCGTTATTCCATCCCCCTTCACTCGGCCTGGATCTATCCACTTCCGCTATCCCCGATAGTCCTGACCAAGACCGATCGGTTGCGGCGGATCTATCCTCGTCAAAAGATACAACTGCTAATTACTCATCTCATTCGAATGGGATTTTTCCATGCTCTATCTGTGGTAAGGATTTTAATTCCAAGTTGTCTTTGAAGCAACACGTCGACGGGAAACATCGTGCAGAAGGAAAATATCTTTGTCCCACTTGTGGAAAACGCTATCGTTGGGGTGCTTCTTTTTATTATCACAAGAAAACTTGTGTTGTCTCCGAAGTGCCATCAGTAGTGAACAATCAAACTCCGGAATTATTGGCAAGTCACACTTAACTGCCGTATCCACATCTTACTATCCTTGTTCTTCCCCAAACCACTTGCTCATTTCCGCCTGTTTGGTCGCTCCATTTTTATCATTCCTCTAATTTCCCTCTATCTTACTCGTCACTGCAGTTGAATCGCGGGTTTTTATCCATCAAGGGTTACTTCATCTTCAACTTTGATCTTCGCACACCCACTACTTACCTGGAAGCCTTAGCCTTTTGTATCCCCGTGCATTTCAGCTTTGTTCTTCCAAGATTACTTAGCTACTTTGCATTCGCCCCATTTTGCATGGTTTTGTACTCGGTGAGTCGCCCGCAGCGTCTGTACAAATTTCGCTGATCTTACTCACCAAGTCTGTAGCCAACAAAAAGCAGACATTTTTTCTCGCGCGCAGCCAAACTACTCTTGTAATGGTGCATTTATCCATACGATGGGTCGCCTTCGTTTGATAATGATCGCGTACCAGTTCGTTCCTGTGTGTCTGCTCCGGACTCATTTGATTATCTAGTCATTATGTTATCTTGATCGTATTCTTGAATGGATCCTTTGCTCACAATCCAAGGCTGTCGTACGTATAAACTTTTGACTTGATATGAACCAACCTATTTTCGTTCCACCCTCGTTTCACTCTGGTATTTTTAATCTTATCCATGCGCTCTCCGGTTACAGCCTAATTACGGTAGCTGGGATTCTCGGGTATCTTTTCGGATGGTTGTGTAGCTGGACTTTCTTGACTCCTTTTCGACTGAAGACAGCTCATAGTGCGTCCATCCTTGATCGTGTACACGAATGTATTCCTTTGCTCTCTATTATGCTTGGCTATTCCCATTCCCTTGGCTAAATCTATGTAGCCGTTCACTGGCCATAATATTCGTTTATCAGTACCTAATCTCTAGTGTTTTGACATGACATCGTTGCTATCCCCGTCTCCTTTCGTAATTTGTGTGGTACCAGTTAGGGACACCATTTAGCGCAACTGATAACCAACAACACTGCATTAATAGATTGAACTGATGCCTCACTGCCATAAAACTGGGATGTATGGAAGAATGAAACTTGATACTAGGCCAGACAGACTTAATGAAAAACCCGGACATCTTAAACAATGGGTCAAGGCGCCTACACCTTGCTAGTGCGGTTGAACAACTATGATCCGATCACCGAAGGGCGGTGGGTCCAGTTGCCACGATTCACGTCACGAGTATAACAGCAAATAAAAGCGAATATGGCGTGTTTAAAGTCTAATAGAATGTAAAGAAAATAGAGGCAAGGTGGTGCGTTAAGCTAATCATAGGGGAACGGAAATTAACAATCAGATGTAACAAATTGAATGCAGAAACTCCACTGACAGCTGGTGATCGTGTCATGTCTGATACGGTTTTCAACCATTAGTGTGGGTCATCCCGAGGCTCCCGTCCACCTAGACGGCACGCACCATCCTGTCCAAGTTCCAGTCAGTTTCTTCACGCCTCTGCGCCACGTCATGGGCTAGCCACCTGGCGGTTTCACCCAACTTGGTTTAGCCACGGCGTATAATGCACGCCGACGAAGCGGATCAACGCACATACGGGGGACATGGCCTGGCCAATGTAAGCCATTAAGATTCAGTAAGCACTCAAGTGAAACATCAGAAGGCTTCTTGTCACGAACCAGCTGGCGGACCTTAGCGTTGCTCACGCTTTTCTCCCACCAGATATTACCAATATTCCGTAAGCAACAGTGGTCAAACACGGTCAAGCGTTTAATGTCTTCGCCGCGCACTGGTCAGGTCTCTGATCCAGACAGTAAGGCCAATCTTACCGCAGCGTTATACACCCTATTTTTCACTGATGGGCTGATATCCTGCCATCTCCATAGATGTTTGAGCCTTCGGAAAACAACACGGGCCTTGGTGATGCGTGACGTAGTTTCCTCAGTGACGTGACCACCAGAGGTGACACAGCCACCAAGGTAAGTGAACCGGTCCACTACTTCCAATGGCCGTTCAGTAATAGCTAGAAGGAAAGGCGTGTCGGTCCAGTCCTACAACCGTGCTTTGTGCTTTGGAGGTGCAAAGCACGTGCTGAAGCGAGAAACGCTACGCGTCAGTCTATCCAGTAGTGTTTGCAAACCCAATGTGTCAGACCCAAGAAGAGCTATATCATCCGCATATTCCGGATCTGTCAGTCACCTGGCATAACTTCCACTCCGTTAGAGTCTGAGAGAACCAAGTCGTTCATGATCATTTCGATCGGGAAGTTGAAGGGGAAATGGGATATAAGACAACTCTGGCGAACCTCACTTGTCATTGGTAACTCAGGAGACAGATTCCTGTAACCCTTACATGGCTTCGGGAGTCACGGTAGAGTGGCTTCAGAAGGGCAGGAGGTTTAGCTGACACGCCTTCCACGGATAGACAGTGCTACAAGCTAGCGATCAACAGAGTCGAAGGCGGTTTTCCAGTCAAGAAATACCCACCATAGTCGGTCCTCTGTATGTGTATATGCTGTAAGATTTGGCGAAGAGCAAATGTAATGTATGGTCGATACAACCACGACCAGGGCGGTTTTCAAGGGGCCCAGTAAGTCGGAGAATGATGCTTTTGGGAAGTTTAGATGCATCGAAAACAAATCTAATGTCTCGATGATTCTTGCACAAAGTCCGCTGATCCTTCTTGAAGATGGGCGCAACAGTTGACAGTCGCTACTCTGAAGGCACGTCTTCAGTGTTCCAAATCTTGTTAAATAGAGAAACAAGTGTAGTCGGCAAATAGTCACCACCATATTTCAGCAAAGATGGAGGAACGTCGTCGGGTCCAGAAGCTTTGTTTCGTTTCAACATGAAAAAGTCATCTCGAATCTCTTCCAAAGTGGGAGGTGTGACATCTATTTGCTACATCGGCTCTGGTTATTCGGCAAGCGGCATCGTCGCAGCACGTCTGCTGAACTGCTCTTCAAAATGTTCCGCCGCACGGGCTAGTCGACGATGCTGAGAATGAATCAACTCTCCATCTTTCTCGGCTGTTGTCTTGCTGACTTGTCTTTCTCAGACCCGTGTTCCGGATAAACTGGCATAGCACTGGCTTTCTCCATCACACGGACCTTTGCCACCCAACACCATTCCCGATCGATTCGAAGACTCCTTGTCAGACGTCGTTTTAAGGACACACTGAATTTCTTTGCCCATTGGAACCTGTTTCTGGGCTTCAACAAGGCTGATCGATGCCTCAGCGATCCATTCATAGTTACTACGCCTCAAGTTGGGTGCGTAGTATGCGTCGCATGCATTCTTCAGAGCACCTTTGAGACGATCCCATCAGCATTCGTTTCACCAACCTCATTCATCCATGACATTTTTTGGGCCAGTTCGTATTGATAGTGTTGAACTGCAGTTTGCGAGTTAAAGTTACTGGTAAAAAGGTTAGACGATAGGCGCTTTTTTGATGCGACAGGAGAGCGCTAAACGTGTATCCACTAGAGCATGGTCGGAACCTCCACAAACCACTGGCTGTCTTACGACATCGACGAAACAGCCTTGCGCTTTTCACTGTTCCACATCTTATTCATCCTTCCTTCATAGCTGAGTGTGCGTCTGCATTGGTGTCGCACGTTGCATTTGTATTTGCAAATGGCCAATTGTTTCTACAGGGTCCGACCTTTGCAAGATAGCCAGCTGTTTGTAACGGTATGTTGTCTACGCAAGGTGTAGGCGCCTTGATCCCGAATGTTTGCTTAGGACATCAAGGTTTTCACTTAAGTCCCCCTTCTCTCTTATTATTTTTCATTTCATAGGTCATCACGGTTGTGTGGTAGCGAAGCATCGGTTCAAATAGCTGATGTACTGCTGCTATTGTTGATGATGATGATGATGACCTATGTTGTCCCGCCCGAACTCAACAGTTGCCAAACTGATTGGTTTCAGGCTTCTGGGGTCTAATGGGCTTCGTCCGCTGATTCTGAACTCGTTTCCGCTTTCATTTTACTTACCCTGATCGACCTGTTCAACTGATTGCTGTCGGTGGGTTCATTACCGAATGATTGAAAATACTCGGTGGTAAAGCCAATGCAGAAGTGGTGACTCCAGCGAAGTTGGCAACTGCTGACTGATTGGTCTATCACTTATTTTAGCTAAAGTAACAGAGAACATTGTGAAGGAGTGTTTGATACAACTGTTTCAGTCAAAAGGTCTGACAATCACATGAAAAAGTTTCATGCTAGGTCGCTCATGCATAACCAACCTGCTTGTGGTGAAGCATGAATGGTTGAAGACAATGTATCAGCGGAAGTCTTTCGGCCTTTTCTACCTTCTTTTGAGCAAATCGTTTGACAGGGTGAACTATGAGGCCATCCTCTACAGACTGAAAGTTAGTGGCTCGCCACACCGTTGGTTCCGGGAGCTTCTCGTTGGACGAAACTGGGGGAAGTACAGTTCTACTATCGTCTGACTGACTACGATCACTTACACACCCTAGGGACCAGCACTGGTACCTATTCTGATTCTAATCTATTTCAACGAATTACCCCACCTTTACGGATCGCCTTGTGCAATGTTTGTGGACCATTTGAAGGTATGAAGAGCGGCAAGTGTTTCTGACGACTACGGTCTAATTGAACGAACTCTCACTCACCTCTACATTTGGTCTACAGACGTCTGCCCCCAGGCAATCCAGCCAATTAGAATTCATGATGGGAAAGGGAGATTACGTTCTTAACATACACCATCGACGGCCAGCCACTACTTACCACACCTTCGGCGTACTTTAGCGCTGCTGAATAGCAGTGCAGCAGAGGCAACACGAACGAAGTACACGGAAACGGGCTTTGTATGCTTTGGGCGCTTGAACACTGCTTCTGCGCTTGGTCGGGAGCGTTTGTTACTCGTCTCTTTCGTCACTTTGTTTGGGTCACCGCCTTCGAAGCCTGCCTCACTACCGAGCATCTTTAGTCAATTAAGAATGCACTCTCGAACAGCGATTTGTTGAACGGATCAGTCACGGAAAGCGAAATGATGGCCGATAGAGACTTGAGAATCAGCGGATGGAGTCCTAACAAGGACCGTTATGTTTCACACCGTCAAGACTGGTGAGTAGATTGTGGACACCTTCCACGCCGCAACCCAAGTTATCAAGTTCGGTTGGGCCTACACAAGTCGAACTCGGTACAGGCACAACCATTTGTGAATACGGAAGCGAAGTGCACCGTCAATGCGGACGCACACAGTGCTCGTAGTTAAGACCTCTCTAACACGGTTGCATCGCCTGAAAGCCTCCGACACCGTTCTACATACCCAAAGATCTTGCAGGTCGTCTTCATTGCGATTGCGAACGGCTTTTCAGGCTGCCGACTCTTCTGTGTTTTCGTGCCGTTGCCTAAATTCTGCTATCTCTGATATACTTTGTACTCGTCGACAGAGCCAGATTGGAGGAATTTCTTCTATGGTACGCTTCCTCCTCGAGCTGAACGACCATAATCCGTGTCCAGCCATCCGATACTTGTGGAATACGAATCCAGCACACAGCGACTTTATATAATGGACCAACGAGCCTCAACAAATGACTCCTGTGGCAGTGGCCAGTCTATTTAAATAGCAGCTCTAGTGAGATCATCGGTACCCGTTTTCCAGTAGTCGTAGGATGACTCCTGTGGACGAGAGTGCGGCAGCAGCAGCTCTGGGTTGGCTATGACCATGACACCGCATGCGTTGGCTCGACCACGTATTGTGCATACCAGACTATTGCCTTCCCCGTCCAGCGTTATTTTCGCTCCACTGTAGCGATGGGAAAGTGCCGCGGTGGACAACGAATAACATGGAGGATTATGGAAAAGCCAACCTCAAACAGCACCCGTCGGACTGGTCCATCTTCCAAGATGGGGATCACGCAACTTGGACTGCCAGTGTTTGAAAGCGTTTTATGTCATGGCGCGCAACAGACTTCAGTTGCGACAGTGTGGTTCAACCCCATTATCTATTCGTTTCTGTCCAAAACAAAACAAATTAAAGCGGCGTG